TCCCTGACCCTATGAAAGTCAATTGATCTGAGAAGCTCTAGTGTGGAAGTAAAGCTTGGCACCAGAAGAGTATGGGAATATAACCTGGGACAGTCACTGGAATGACATGTCTAACCCATTGCACTGTCAGCTGCCCAAGGATCAAATTAAAAGCACAGGAAACAATTTTCCTACTTTCTCTTATTTTAGCTGCAGCATATATTATAGTCCAGTAATTAGGCAAGAGAGTGACTTTAAGCTGTAGCTACTAAATCATTGCAGTAATTGTCAAATGAGGATATAACTGTTGAGTGGAAAGGAATCCAGTCACACCATAATCAGTTGAAAAACTGTCTAATTAGGCTGTCATATTTGATTGTTATAACTTTGCACCAGACCATAGAGGTGACTGGAAATGATGTACTAGTTGTACAATTACATATTATATTAGATAAAAAAAAAACAGTTTATGTTTTTTTTCTAAAAGCTGCGTTTATGTAAGATTAAAAAGCAAATGCTAAGAAATAGAAATGTGTTGACCCATTTCTCACAAAAAATTGTAACCAAGATATAACTGTGAAAGCATTAATAAATGAAAGATTACATATAGGCCTGGGCACTACAGCTTGTGGCAAATTTAGATTTTATTTATTGTATCAAATGATTGATATATTGAAGGGGTTAACAACCTGTAAAATAATTAACACTGTGAAGGGGTCTGCAAATTAAAGCAGATTTTCTCTTATTCGAGAATGACACCTTAACATTAACTGACCACATTTCCACTGTGCATGGTTGCATGCACCGCACAACTGCTTTTAGTGGCCTGCTTCCAAAGTTGGTGTTCCATGTGGCTGTGGCTTCTGCTTTTTGTGCCGTTTGTGTTTTGTGTACATCTAAGTGAAGAGGAGTGTGGATGTACATTTCTAGTGTTTTTTCTATTTATTTATTTATTGTGTGTGTGTGTGGGTGCGTGTGTGCATGTGTATATGTGAGTGTGCACGCGTACTCGCATGCATGCATGTGTGCATGCTTGTACATGTGTGTGTGTGTGTGTGTGTGTGTGTGTGTGCGTGTGCGTGTGCGTGTGTGCGTGTATGTGTGTGCATGTGCATGCATGGATGAGTGCATGTGTGCATGCATGCTTGCTTGTGTGTGCATATGTGGGTGAGTCAGTGGTTGGGTGGGTGCGTGGGTGCTTTCTTGCGTGCATGTTCATAAGGTGTATTGTAATTTTTTTTGTGCATTGTTTTGTGTAAATGGGGATTAATATTTTGAATATGTGAAAATATTATGAATATCTCTAGAGAAAGATATAGGTTTGGAGAACTGTAGTTTTTAATGTTGTAAACTAGCAGGCAAAACAGGTGATAAGTACAAGAAAAGATGGCAAGGAAGGTGATTTTTGTATGTATGGTTTGATATATTTGTTGTAACTGGAATCTATTCATAGTTAACCCACCGAGACTGGGTACATGGAGTTTGGATTTGTTTGTTACCTAGATGGCTTTACATGGTCATGGGCATCAAAGAGTCAGTTATCTATTTACCACATTCGTTGAATTAAAGTGGTTATTGTAATTATTATTAACCTGTAGGATCTGGGTGTCTCCTGGCTCAAAGGTGGGCCAGAAACCGGGCATTAGGCTTCCTTGAGTAACAGTATGTTCACTCATGGTATCAAGATTCCTTGCCTCCTCTTTGCAGTGCTATTAGCCTTTTTCTATAGACTCGTTTTTGCCGTTTTGCCATTTCCCAAGGTCTGTATTTGTCATTTTACATGCTGTATCAAGAAGATGATGGACTTGTCGTAGAGCTGACTCATTATATCTCCAGGCCGTTTACACTTTTCATTGTAGTTATTTGTTGTATTGTTTATATTTTCATGCAGTTATTTATTTTATTTGTTATATTTCCATATTATGCACTTTTATGTAATGCCTCCTATGCTGCCAGTAATAGGGGGCAGGGACTTGTGTGTGAACAAGTGTCCTCCATGGAGATGGTCCTCTCCCAGGCATGCGCTCATGACAAGGTGTCCATTATCTGACACTGCAACAATTTCCCATAGTGAGACATTCATGCCCCTCACCTAGATTGTATCATATGATCATATGTTGTCTTTCTTGTTATTCTCAGCATCGAAATGACATTATTAACTGTAACAGTGGCAAGGAAAGTAAAAATCTGAAGGTTGGGTTAGATAGGTGAATCAAAATAGGCCATGTGGAACCCTCCAAGTGTAAACAAAGAAGATAAAACAAAACTACAGAAGACAGTATGTGTGCAGATGTACTCCCAGTATCAGTGGCTTAACCATTTGGAAGAGGGAGAAACATCTTAGAAAGCAAATCTATAAATGCCTTGTATTTGTTTATGTTACACTTGAGCATTGTAGAATGAACTTCAAGTAAATAGATTTTTGATAGGTGAATGATAGAGGTTGCAGATACAAAAGAAAAACCCCTTAAAAGAATTTTGCAAACATATATTTTTTACAATTTTATCATATGTACTTGAAGTAAAATTTCTTTGATAATTCCAGTCCCTTGAATTGTAGTTTTGTTAAACTTTTTAGGTGTTGCTTAGATTAGCTTCAGAGAGGGAAAGCAACCTGTATGTGCCATTGATTTATGGAATTAAAAGGGAGTAAATGGACTTAAGAAGAAAATAATGATAGCTGAGAAAGATTGGAAGAGATATGAAAAGTAAGTCTTTATTCTAGCTAGGTGGAATACTAAAAGAGATACAGCACTGTGTTAATTGTCTTAGTAAAACATTTTTGAATGTCTTAAGATATTCTTGTAATGTTCTCTATTCATCAGTGGTAAATTTTTACTTTAAAAAAATAGCCCTTTGGTGAGACACATTTCTTTTAGAAAAGTGAATCGTAGCCTCTGCTCTAAAACAGATTAGATTTACCTTTACTTTAGAAGTGGCCTTATCATTATCTGTTTTATGAACTGATTAGGCAGCTTTGATTAAATAACAAATCGTCAGCCTGTCAGCAAGGCTTTATCCTTGCAGCTTTTGTACGCATCCTTTTAAAACATTGCATGTTTGATATTGTCAAATATTTGGCTGAGTAGAACAGCAGATAACAGCAAACACAAACACTCATGTGCGGTATCAAGACTCCTTGCCTCTCCTTTGTGATGTTGTTATCTTTTTCTGCATAAGCGTTTTGCTTTTTTGCCATTTTCCATTTGTCATTTGATATGCTGTTTCAAGATAGGAATAGATTGTTTTCCTTACACAGACTCCATATCATCTCTCAATACTAATAACAATAAGTAACACTTTGTTATTAGTGTGATTTATGTATTATTCAGTATTCTGTAACACCTTGAGTCATTGGTCACGGTAGGCTGGAACAGGATCATGAACATGGAAATAGTGTCCTTCCTTGAAGAGCTTTTTGCACTCATGACAAATCATTCCCATCACATTTGAAGAACTCAGTTTTAAATACCAGAAAGTTTATTTTATTGCCATATCTCAAACAGAACAAGTTGAAAAAATTATTACAGTTACCTTTTGTGTAAAATAGGGAAATCTAAATGAAAATAGGGGAGATTACTATGAATGGGTGCTTAAAAGACTTACTCTTTTTTCTTGATCACATTGAATGATAAACTGTGTATTTAGTTGTATTGACAAGTATTTAGATGTCCAAATAGTAATGAGATGATATACCATGAGGTAATTATTTAGTATATAATAATATGTTTGGAGGGGATGTAGGAAGAGGAAAAGATCTAGGGTTTGGAACCTGAATTACTACTGCATACTCACTATGTTTCATTCACAATTAGATAGTAACAGGAAAACATTGGTTCAGGCAGAGGAGGGCCCACAAGGAGAGTGAGGGTATAAGGAGTGATATTTTGGGTGTAGCTGAAGGTAGCTTGCCAAATAGTACCAGACATATTAGAGAATTTTATGTATAAATCATTCATAACAGAAATGTTTTAGGGAAAAGTCCCACCAGTTTTTTACAGGCCCAGCATAGTGATGGCAAATATGCCTTAAGGGGCAAACTTAGCACCAAACTTTCACATAGTTCATATAGTATAGAAATGTGCAATTTAACTCATTCTAAAGGTTGGCCTGTACCTCCATGCCATGCTCTAAGATGAGCCTGCTCTAAGTTATGTTAATTAACCATTGTTACAGTCAGTTAAAAGTAAGCTTAGTCTCTTTTTAGCCTCATTTTAGCTGAAAGTGTAGAGAGTGGGAAAAGTATTTGTTTTCTGTGCTCATAATTTTCCCATTGAGTAGTTGACTGCCCAGCGCATTGCTTGGTACAGCACAGGAGACACACATTAGCAATGAGTTAATGATAAGCAATGAGGAGAATGACTTTTTGTTTATATTTACTTTTTTATTACTATTATTATTATTGTTATTATTATTATTATTATTATTTGTATTATTATTTTGGAATTTTATGTGGTATGTGGGTGTTTGAGTATGTCTTTATAATATAAGTTTATTTTTGTCTTTAGTAAAAGCTGTTATTGATCTTGATGTGGGTATAGGGCAATGATGTAATTATTTGTGTATATATATATGTGTGTGTGTGTGTGTGTGTGTGTGTGTGTGTGTGTGTGTGTGTGTGTGTGTGTGTGTGTGTGTGTGTGTGTGTGTGTGTGTGTGTGTGTGTGTGTGCGTGCGTGCATATGTAGGAATGTGTGTGTTGTGTTTTTTTTTTTTTTTTTTTTTTTTTTTTTTAAGTAAGCATGTCTTTGTTTCTGTGTCTGCATCCTTTTGAATATAGTGGAATACTGTATACTCTTATTATACTTGAGTAAGTATAAGTATGCATGATGAACTCTGCATGAATGCACTGAGCTCCACTTTGTAAGCCACAGCATGAAGTGGTTGCTTTGCAGTAGTATAGACGTGGATGCTGTCGAGCTCAGGCCCCCTAAGGAGGATTCTCGCTCAGAAGGTCTACGGCAGAGCCTCACCCGCGGCCTGCATGTTTTTTCGGGCCGTTCCTCTGATCTTATGGCTAT